GACCCCCCCCCCCCCCCCCGGCGTCTAATTCAATCACTCAAGCTTTCGCTCATTTACGAGTCGAGTTTAGCCTGACATATTTCAGCTTGGGATATACACACAATATTTATGTCAGTCTCAACATAAACGCAATATTAATGTTTTTATGAAAGCGGACACCAACCCAATGAACCGTCATCATGAAAAAGACTAACGATGACAACAGTGACGGGGGAAGCTACTTTACATACAAATTCCCTATTTACACAGAGAGAGACACGTACAAATCCCATTAATGTTGTATGAGCTGTGGAATAAGCTTCAACAAGAAAGACAACTCCTTGGGCGAGAATTTGGGCTTCTCGTCAGTCTTCATCTCCTCCCCATCTCCACCGTCCCTGACTTCCTCCTCCGATGGTCTCAACATGTCCGCCACCGCCGCCGATATTTCTCCGACGAGGTCCACAATCACGCCGTCGATGCCCATTATGTGCTGCATGTACACCGCTTCCACCACATTGTTCAGCTGGCCGTAGGTGAAGAGGGTGAGATTGGAACCCTTGATCTTGTTCACCGCCGCCGGGTTCTTGAACACGCCCTTCACCTCCGAGACTATCCCTTCCAGGCCTCCCTCCTCGCACACCTTCACCGCTTCCTCCAGCGAGTTCCGCCTCGGGTCCGGGTAGGCCTCGGAGCCGCCGTTGGTGAGGAAGAACACCGGGTACGTGCTCTGCAGCTTCTTCGCCATCACCGCCGCGTCCGGCTGGAAGGTGGAGAAGAGGATCGGGCGGTCGTTGGCGTGCTCGAACACGACGCGGAGGACCGTGCCGAGGACTCGCCGGAGGTGGTCTTGTGGGTAGGACACGTGGTCGTCGAATTTCAGCTCGATGTTGAACCCTAGGTTTGGGTTCACCTTTTCCAGGGCTTCTTGGAGGGTGCACAGTGGGTCGTCTGCCTCCACGGACCATCTCAAGATCTTCCCGTCCTTCATTCTTCTGACCAGAGGTTTCCCGGTTGCGCCTCCGCCTCCACCGCCGCCGGTGATCTCCCTTTGCGGCCCGTAGCTCAGGAATTCTGCTAAGCTCAATTCCGTGACCCTCTTCTCTAAGATTGTATCCTGAACGATTGTCCCAATTCATTGAAATTCTTCAGTAAGTTACAAGTAGCCAAATCTTTAGCAGGAGGACACAAGAATCATCTAAGAGTTTATGTAAATCCTTATCCCAAAATGAATTTGATTGAATTTGAACAGAAGTACTTACAGACAGTAATGTAATTAAAAAATTATTGAATGATTAGAGGGAGTTCAGCTTACATTCTCTTGGGATAGAATGAAATCGTCGTGGAAGATGACCGGACAGTCGTCTTTGGTAACCTACAAACAAAAAATCCACAAATTCATCCGATTATTTCACAATTTCGACGCCAAATCGCACATTATCTGGTGTTTTTTCCCCATAGAATTCGACGAGAAGGAGAAGTTGAAGGTAAAAAAAAACCTGGACGTCAAATTCAATGTAATCGGCGAAGTAATCGGCGGCGGCATTGAAAGAGCGAAGGGAGTTCTCCTTCAAATCCTTCATTCTCCGATCCGACGACTGCAGCACGTTCATCCCGCTCCCTCTGTGCCCGATAACCACGAATTTAGGCGGCCGGAACGCGGCGCCGGCTGCGGCTCTCCCGATTTCCACCCCTGCGAATCCAATCAAACCCTACATCCATCAATTCGCCGCACAAAACGACGAATCCGAAGAAGGGGATCGAGCAGGTACTCACCTTGAGGAGGGAAGCGGTTGGGGCAGAGAGCCGGGGAGGCGTTCTCCGGGACCTGGCCGATATTAGGAATGTCGGCGACGTGAACGGCCTTGAGAGCCATCGGAATGCGTGGGGGGTTAACTCACGGGAATGGCGACAGAGAGAAGGCTCAGGACGGAGGAGAGAAGAAGGCGGATTGCCCTATTTAAAGGGAAGAAGAAGACGGAATATGCAAAGCGGAAATTCCGTGAGATGCCCGAATCCGCCATGGATATTCCTCTCCTGCTTCTAATATATGCGGGGAATATTCGCCGTTCCGCTTCTCTCCTCCGTTAACGCGGCAGTCAACTCTTGTTTTTCATTTGAAAATTTAATACGGAGTGAAATATTGGACAGAAACTTGACGGCGAAGGTGACGGGGATCCACGCAATGGATGGACACATATCCAAATCATGCATACAATTACGGATTTAGATAACCACCCCAAAATTGGGCCCATTTCATTATTTTATACCTCTCCTTTCCTAGTTAATTTATCGGGAAAAACAGACTATTTTTATTTGAGTTTGATTGGAGTACTTGTAATGTTCACAATTCGTATAGGACTTTGTTCTCCATCTTCATTTCAGTTTATTTTAATCATTCATGAGGCCTTGCTTTAAAAATAAAAAAAAAAGCATCTCAATTTTTTAAAAAATAAGAACTTCACGGAGATTGAGAAGTATTGTTAGAACGTGGGACTGCCGCGCCTGCCACCTCAGGATACATTCTCCTTCGGTGTGGCGAGGCACCTGCCTACGGAGCCATGCACGAGACACTTCTTTATATTTTTTAAATCTTTTTTGAATATAAGAAAAAAAATTTAAAAAACTAGTACATCTATTTTTATGAAAAAAAATAATTAAACTAATTTTTAATACCAAAATACATTAAAAGAAGTATAAAATGATAAAAAAAAATGACTTAACATTGCATGACATGTCATTCTTTTTGTTTGCCACATACTGACTGAATTGTCTTTAATTGGTTAAAATATGTCACATCAATGTGTGACATTCCATTTCTTTACTTGTCATGATTGATGCTCTTATCAAAATAAATCTTAAAATAAATCTACCTAAATTTATTTTTTACGGAGTAATAAAGTTTTATCTTATTTAACTTAAAAAAAAACATAGTGAACAATGAGATAAGTTACTGTCATTTCATAAATCATCACAAATAATTTCAGACACCAATATTTGAGAAGCAAGCAAATCCATCACTCCAAAGTCTAAATTGCATACAACTAACCGTGGGTGGGGGGAAGAGAACAAGGCAGAAAGAAAGAAACTACTTTGGCACCGAATAAAATACAGGGAACAAACAAGGATCAAGCAAGCACTTGCCACAACAACAATAAACAACAGCCAGATCAAAACATTGCTAAATAGAAGATCCAATGGGCAGAGAGATAATCCTTCGGCACGAGTGGGGCCCACCCAAGGGTCGATCACGGTTTAACCGCACTCAAGCCGCTACTGCTGCTTCCAATGCCCGGGCCCCGCACCCGGTTCGGTTCTCCGGTTCCTCTGGATGCCAAAGCCAGAACTTCCGGTGACATTTCCCAGCTCCCACTTTTCCTCCCCCAGCTGGACCGCCGTGGATGCATTGCTGCCGCCCGATCACCTTCGTCAACGGTTGTTCTTATCTCCTTCATGTTCAGCACATCGTTGTTGTCTTCGCCTCCACCTTCGTGGGCCCCAATGTCGCCGCTACCGCCCCACACTGCTTTCCTCCCCATTTCTATGTCATCCACGGCCTTGCCCATGTTTGGGCTAACGAATCCAGCACCGGACGCATGCCGGGCGGGTATTGCAAGCTCCCTCTGAACCTTTGCCCTGAAGTCATTCTTCGAAGGAGGGATAGAGGCAAAGAATATTTCTATGAAGTTCTGTACCACTCCTTTGTTGTATGGGTTGACTCGCCGGTCATACCGGTATCTGAAATTCTCATATGTTGTCTGCATAGTGTTGACAAAAACAAAATGACTATTTAGTTCTAAGTGTGAAAAATTAGATGTCATTTAGTAATGGTTATGCTTTCTGTTTTATTTTCACTGTTTTAAAATAAATAGAAACACTAAGGTCTAAGGGTCTCTTTGGGAAACGCCGAAGGCCAATTAGAGGGAAAGCTTAAGTTTTAGGTTCATGCTTAATATATACTCCATAAATACTAAATATGAGTGAAACGGCAACTTTTTGGTATTCATTTTGTTCTATGTTTTATTTTACCTTTTTTTTGTAAAATAGAAACCAGAAAAATGACAGGGGAGAAAGATAGAGAGAAAAGTTGTTATTTGTAAAAATGGCACAAGCTTAGTATATAGAACTAAGAAATGAATTTGAACTCATATTTATGATAAGACTGACAATCTAACTATAAGCAAAATCCAAAATAGTTCTGATAACATTTGATTTTGGCTTGTATTTGCAAGGTTGTTGCATTTGACTCTACTATATTTGCTTTGTAATACTACTCTGGAAATGGTTCAAGACAGGATTTTGAGGTTTTGAAGGTTTGCAGAAACATCTTTGAGACTTTGGCACTCTTCACGAATCATTTACGAGTAGATTTTTTTATTTTTTTTATTTTTTGCATGGAAAAACCATGTTAAAATTCCACAAAAAATAGGGTATTTGAAGGATGTGTGCACATAGACCTTATCCCTAGTATGTAGAAGAGAATCTGCTTTCAAGAGACTCCAAGCTCAGAACACAATAGCACGACTAAACAAAGTAAGAGCACAACTCGTAGCATACATAAAGACACTAGCAACAAGACCCAAAGCACAGAAAACAAACATGCACAAACAACAGACTAAAATCCCAAAGCTTTACTCAACTACTTTAAGCTTATATCTCCATGCATATATAATATGAATCATAACAATCCATTACTATTTCTTGAGGTTTGAAGGAATGATTTTTTTTACCTGATTTGTGCTTATGAGGTATAAATGAAAGGCAGTAAGACCACCGACAAACCACACTGCAATAAAGGTGTAAGCAATTAGGACAATAGAAGCTGGAGTCTTGATCATTGCCTTCCAAATTGTGGTTTCTTCAGCACCCATTATCCTTCTAATGTAGACCCAACAGAAACCAAACACATATATACACAGAAGCGTGGTAGAGAAGACAAACATGAAAAAGAACCGGTAGTTTCTCTGCAACAGCAAATAAAACAATGTCAATTTTACATAATGAAAATTCCATGGGGAAATGACTTCGGTTCTTTCTATTTGAAGCACAAAAGGTTGGGGCTTGTTTGGTTCTAGGATTTTATTTGTTGGGGGAGGATTTGTTTTTTAGTTTGCCAATTTATCCATACTTGATGTGGCTTTTTAAAGAAATGTTTCCAATAAGTAAAATGTCATTTTTTGGGGAAAAAACCAAATAGTACTCTTTTAGTTTGGGGAGTTGGGGCAAAGCCGCGAAGAAGGTATATGTTCAGTTAAATCGTGCTAATACATAATTTGTTGTCTTAAACTTTTCTAAAATAATCTAAATGTAAGAATAAGTCAATAAACTTATTTTAAAAAAAATCAATAAATTAAACATCAACTTAACCCAGTCAAATCCTACAAGCAAACACGGGATTAAACAACATGATCTATATGAACAGTAAGTGGTGACAATGAAACATTACCAGCCCAATACACTGCCCGACCCAAGGGCAGTGGTGGTCAAATCTTTCAACGCAGTTGTTGCATATTGAACAATGAGAACATCGTGGAGGTCGGTAGAGCATACAGGTATCACAATATTTAACCTTCACGGTAGCACCATTAACCTCAACTTCTTTGATACGTGGTAGACGTAACTGTGGGGTTTGTCCACCGCCTTCGGCAGCATTTCCATCAAAATCTTTTGGTTCTGG